GTGAAGTGAAATGGGCCTTAGAAAATCTGAGCAACAACAAAGCTAGTGGAGGTGACAGTATTCCAGCTGAGCTATTCAAAATCTTAAAAGATGATGCAGTAAAAGTGCTACACTCAATTTGCCAGCAAATTTGGAAAACTCAACAGTGGCCACAGGATTGGAAAAGGTCAGTTTACATTCCAATTCCAAAGAAAGGCAATGCCAAAGAATGTTCAAACTATCGCACCATTGCACTCATTTCACATGCTAGTAAAGTTATGCTTAAAATCCTACAAGCTAGACTCCAGCAGTATGTGGATCGAGAACTACCAGAAGTACAGGCAGGATTTCGAAGAGGCAGAGGAACTAGAGATCAAATTGCCAACATACGCTGGATCATGGAGAAAGCTAGGGAGTTCCAGAAAAACATCTACTTCTGCTTCATTGACTATGCAAAAGCCTTTGATTGTGTGGATCACAACAAATTGTGGCAAGTTCTTAAAGAGATGGGAGTACCAGACCATCTCATTTGTCTCTTGAGAAACCTATATGCGGGTCAAGAAGCAACAGTGAGAACTGGACACGGAACCACTGATTGGTTCAAAATTGGAAAAGGAGTCCGGCAAGGCTGTATACTGTCGCCCTGCCTATTTAACTTATATGCAGAGCACATCATGAGAAAGACAGGGCTAGATGAATCAAAAATTGGAATTAAGATTGCCGGGAGAAATATCAACAACCTAAGATATGCAGATGATACCACTCTAATGGCAGAAAGTGAAGAGGAACTAAAGAGCCTCTTGATGCGGGTGAAGAAGGAGAGTGCAAAAGTAGGCATGAAACTCAACATTAAGAAAACCAAAATCATGGCATCCGGCCCTCTCAATTCCTGGCAAATAGATGGGGAAGAAATGGAGGTAATGACAGATTTTATTTTTCTGGGCTCAAGATCACCTCAGATGGGGACTGCAGCCAAGAAATTAAAAGACGCTTGCTCCTGGGGAGGAAAGCTATGGCAAATCTAGACAGCATACTAAAAAGCAGAGACATCACCCTGCCAACAAAAGTGCGTATAGTCCAGGCCATGGTTTTCCCAGTTGCAATGTATGGCTGTGAAAGTTGGACCATAAGAAAGGCTGAGCGCCAAAGAATTGAGGCCTTTGAACTATGGTGCTGGAGAAGACTCCTGCGAGTCCCTTGGACTGCAAGGCGTTCAAACCGGTCAGTCCTAGAAGAGATCAACCCCGACTGCTCTTTAGAAGGCCAGATCCTGAAGTTGAAACTCAAATACTTTGGCCATCTAATGAGAAGGAAGGACTCACTGGAGAAGGGCCTAATGCTGGGAAAGATTGAGGGCAATAGAAGAAGGGGACGACAGAGAATGAGATGGCTGGATGGAGTCACTGAAGCAGTAGGTGTGAACTTAAATGGACTCCAGAAGATGGTAGAGGACAGGAAGACCTGGAGGAACGCTGTCCATGGGGTCACGATGGGTCGGACATGACTTCGCAATTAACAACAACAACAGTGGGCGTAAGTCAAGGACCATTACCTGTATTGCCATTTTTTAAAATGCAATGCTGAAATAGTCCATTTTGTATTTATAAACACACAGAAAACTGTCAGCGGTTAGAAAATGTCTTATGATCCATTGTAACCTTAATTGTCAGATTAAATATGTTCCCTTTAAAAAAGTCATCACACATCTTACTTCAGAAGCCTATAGCAAACCGGCTGTTGCAGTAAATGAACATAGCATATGGTGCCGCCGTCATGCATAGTATCTGCGTGGGCAGCAATGATTTAGGCTCGTGTTCTTCAGAATTATGGAAAATAAACTGCCTGCTGCCAGTTTCATTTAAACCTAAGCATTAAGCATGCTGTTTTGTGACTAGCAATCCAACAGGGCCAGTAAAGTGCCCAAGAGCAAAAGGTATACGTTTATTTCTATTAACAACCTTCAGCAACTGGATTTTTTACAAGCTGAAGTAGTAATCCTGCAAACCCACACCATAACGCAGTGGCCTCTGATCCTAAAAGCAATATATCCATTTCAATATCTTCTCCTGCTTCAAGATAGTCTATCAGTTGCGCTTCTGTCAAAATTAACAGCAGCATTTGGGAGCCAACATTTTAAGAAGCCACTGTGAGCAAACCACTTTCCTGACAGGTCAAAAAGCCTGAAAATCATTCCTCTAGTATCATTTGTTATTTCTGGATTTTTATCCACTTGTCTACTGACATTCAAGCAATGCCATTTTTAATACAAAAAATAATAAAAAAGACTATTAAAATAAAGTCCAATTTAAAATCAGTATACTTAAAATTAAGACTCTTTCACAGTTGAGGAGGCAGATGAGGAAATGACCCTACTACAGAGTCTAGTTCCTTCAAAAGGGTTACACATTGATCTAAATAACCAGCCAGAATCATGAATGGAGAACCCTTACAGTCTTGCAGATAGATATTTCATCAATATAGATTTTAAGTAAATAGTCCCATGCCCCTTTGGTGTGTCCCTGTGTCCTGCTAAAAGAAAGTAATTTCCATTAGTAAGCAAGACAATTGTTAAGTATGTTTTGGCACATTTTACAACCTTCTTTGCCCCCCCCGTCTTTAAATGGATCCCTGCAGTTGTTACATTAATAACAGTTGTTAAATGAATCAGGCTTCCTCATTGACTTTGTCAGAAGGTCGCAAAAGTTGATCCAAATTTTGATCATGTGACTATGGGCATTCTGCAAGTTGTGTGAAAAATGGTCATTAAGCTGCTTTTTCCAGTGCCATTTGGTTTCTAAATGAGGTATCAACATTTGTATATAACAAGTGTCTCTAAATCGAGGACTACCTGTAATCTTTATTAAATGACAAGAACAGGAACAAAAACAGGGCAGATTCCTCATCCAGGAGACTCATATTCTAAGACTGACTCAAACCATGCAGTCACTTCTGATGACTGTCAAAAATATTGGGCTAGATCAGGGGTAGGCAATCTTGGCCCCTTCATAATTTGTGGACTTCAACTCCCAGAATTCCTGAGCCAGCATGGCTCAGCTTGGAAACTCTCCCTTTCACCTCAGCATGGCTGGCTCAGGAATTCTGGTAGATAATGGTTTTCATATACTGTAAAGACAGCTTCCCAAGATCTTTACTTTTAATGAGAAGACAGCTTAAGATATATCCTTCTTTTCTGTCTACCCAATTTCCATGCTTTTTTTTCATCACAGGCAGAACTTAATTTATTGGGCAATTCCAAAAGATTAATAAATCTCCCCTTCTTCCACTCCAATCTATTCATTGTTGCCCTGTAACAGTCAAAGAGTACACAAAGCACTTTCCAATGGACCAGCTCCAAGATAGATTGGTGGGAGAGTAGTTATCATTCCTCCTGGACATCATTGTTCAGATAGACACACAAAGGGACCTTGATCCAGGGAGAGTTTAGCTTCTCTGCATTTCTGGCCATCTCCAAAATCTTACCTGAGCTCAGAAAATCCTGGGTAGGCAATAACAAGGCCCCCTCCCAATTCTTATCCAATTATGCATAAGGTACATGACATCAACCACGTCAACATGTTTGCCCAAGATTCTTAAGTGGTTCTAAATGTGTGTGACAGCAATTCCACATTCCATCTTTAGCCCATGGGAAGCAATCAGCAAAGACACACCTTGCTCCTCTCTTTCTTTCTCCAGTCTTCACCCTCAGTCTTCCCCTTCCTACGTAAAACTCCCTGATACGGCAATGTCCTTCTTTGCTTCAGAACTTGACTAAGGTTGCTGGGAAGTTCCTAATGGAAAAGTATACAGTACGTTGGCTAACTGGTTCTTTTTGGGGGCAGCTGCTGATTTTTCAGCATGAGCAAAAAATAAAAACATTTTTGTGGTGTAAACCAGAGGAAGGACACAATATTGGCTAGTGATTGAGGAGGCCTGGCTTTGCAGGCTATCTCTCTTCTGCCTGGGATAAGGCTCTGTCTCTGTTTAGAGCAGTGTTTCTCAACCTTGACAATTTTAAGGCCTGTGGACTTCAACTCCCAGAATTCCACAGCCAGCATTGCTGGCTGTGGAATTCTGGGAATTGAAATCCACAGGCCTTAAAATTGTCAAGGTTGAGAAACACTGGTTTAGAGTTAGGTGCTACTCCCATTGCCTGTCTTTCTAGAGGTAGGAAACACTGGGCCAGGGTACCCATCTACACAGAGAGAGTTCTCAGCCTATGCAACATACTCTCCTGCAATTTGGGCATAGTAATAAAGGCGATGATGACGAAAAGAACAGAAAAGCAAACCAACTCTAATAGCAACAACTGATATCACAGAAACCTGGAGGCATGTGGGCAGAGAATAGCAGTTTTGTTTCCTTTCAAAGAAACAAAATATAATGAGTGTGAAGATTTTAAAATGAGAAAAAAGAAAAAAAAACTAAAGTAAATTTTACTTTTAGTTTGCAAATCAGCTGCCATTCTTGACGGGGTGAGTGAATAAGGTTTGCCCATTCATTACAATCTAAAGAGCTGTAAAGCCCACCAACTCTTTAAAGTCTCATTCATTTTGCTGCCATGGGTCAACAATTATTTTTTTTAAAAGCACACATGACCAAAGATATTGATGTAACTTGATAGTTTCAGTTCCTTGAAAACTTGTATGGTTACCTAACTTAACTGATGGAAATTAATGCACTGTCTTCAAACTATACAGCAGTTTTCAGTAGACAATGCTAAACTGTTAAATCATTCCTATCAGGTTCAACCAGTCACCCTTCAGATGTTTTAGTAGGTTTCCTATGTGGAGACATGGCTCTTTTATAAGAGCCACATTCAGAAATATACAAAGTAGATATCAATTATTTCAGCCTATGTAAACTGCTAGTACATTTTTAGTACTTTTAAACCCAAGTTACAGAATTTCTTAGAACTATGGAAAATCTGTTGTCAATTCGGAGACAGCCAATAGAGACTCATGTGTTATCGTAGTTGCAAACATGAAAAATGTATTTTAAAAAGAAAACCAAACACACAGAGAAATGATTTTTACATTTTATCAATTCAATAAAAGTTTTTAGAACTATATAAAATTGCCAGCTAACTGGAATTTATGCAACGCTGCTGAAATAGTTATATCTGAATTACTGTTAAAATGATGAATATCCAAATTAAAATTAAATGGATTAAATTAACAATAGATTAACAATAACATTTTAAAGTCCAATTCAACTTGGATGAAATAACTGCATCCATAAATTCCATTTTGCATATTTATTTCATAAAAATTACAGATAAAATATATCACTGCAGAATATGAATGAATTCAATCTAATTGCAGCAGGAACACACATATCATTAATAAACTCTGCTTAAAATACTTGGATTTTAATATTCAAACACATCTGGTAAAATAAATGAAATATCTTACATCATTTGAGAAAACACAGTAGTTTACTTTTACCAGAAAGTGCTATAATTGCACAACATTTAAAAACGAAGACCACTAAATTTTAAGGAAACATTATTTAAAACTACGTTTATTTAAAACACGGGATAGTATTAATATAAGCATAATAAAATAAAGTACAAAATATTTACTTCCTTAATTTAAACACACCACAAGCCCTTTTTCCTTTACATTTTCATTTTGGTTGAATACTGCTGATTATTAAAACTTAAAAAAATCAGGAAACTATTTTGCAATATAAAAAGTAATCTCTCTGGTCTACAGTATAGTATAAAAACATAGTTAGTTTAATATTAAAAAGTTACACATCCTAAACCGATGCAGTAAACTTTTGCTTTCCTACTTCAACTGTTCTTTGCTCTTCAGCAAAATAAGAGAACAAGAATTCAACAAAGTCCTGATTAAATAATCCATAGGCTGGAAAAGCTCAGAGGAAGGCTTCAAAAAATTTGAAGCAAAATAAGGCATTTTCCTTACAGTCAAGTAAATTTATATGTAGATTTAGTTAAGGAAAAAAATCACTGTCAAAATAGATGATAGATATAGATAGACAGACAATACCCTGCACCCCTAGAATGCTTTTGATATATTCTCGCACCCCTTACAAAAATTTGAAATAATGGCAATAAATTATGCATATACACTATAATTTTGAAAACCCAAGTTTTTGTATCCCCTGAAATATCATCTCGCACCCCCAGGGGGTGCAAGCACTTCTTTAATCCAGGGCTTTTCAAAATTTTCACCCATTGTACCACTTTTAGAATAAGGCAACATCTGAGTAACACTAGTCGCCTAGCAAGGAGTCAAAAACTTGATGACCAAAAAAAAAAAAAGCGATAAAGTACAGGCAGTCCTCAACTTACAACAGTTTGCTTAGGGACTATTTGAAGTTACAATGGCACTGAAAAAGGGGCCCCCAAAGCCACAGCCGAGCAAGACACCTGCCTGCCCACCTGGCCGTGCTCTTCCTCCTGTCCGAGGTTTTCAGTTGTGAGCAGGGGTAGGGGGGTTGTTTGGTTTTTATTTCCCCCGTCTACTAGGTGGTTGCAGCAGGTTTTGTTCACTTCACATGGCCATGGGACACTGTGACCGTCACAAATATGAATCAATTGCCAAGCATCTGAATGTAAATCACAAAATCCTGGAGATGCTGCAACATTCCAGTTGATTGGCGCTTCTTCTGGGCTCAGCAGAAGTGCCAGGATCAGTGCTGTTTTCCAGCTGATTGGTGCTTCTTCAGGGCTCAGCAGAAGCACCAGGATCAGCGCCGAGCTTTAGCTGGAGCCTGGCACTCTTCCTGGCGCTTCCGCTGAGCCCTAACAGCCCTGTAGCTCCAGCCATCTCTCGCTCAGACTTATGCAATGCTGTCACCGGTTCAGCTCTTTCCCTCCCCCGCTACCACTTTTCTAGGATAGTCGCGTACCACTGGTTGAAATCAACCCTGCTTTAATCAACTTCTTTAAAGAAGCCTCAGCTAGGTAAAATAAATGAGGCAAATAACTTACTTGTGGCAACAGCAAGTCATGGATAGAAGTACATCATTTCAGCATTTGTCTCATGACATCACCATGCCATATCATTATTTTGATATTATCATGCTTCATTACATATGCCATTATGTTACGTAATAACATAAACCAGTTTGGTCTAGTGGTTGATACCAGGCTAGAAACCAGAAGACTGTGAGTTCTAGTCCTGCCTTACCCATCAAAGCTGGCAGGGTGACTTTTGGCCAATCCCCAGGAGGCGGTGGGTTCTAATCCCATCTTAGCCCAACCCAACTCACAGGGTTATTATTATGGGGGAAAGAATACTATGTAGACCTTGGGATTCCTGGGCCTGTGCTAGGCCTCCAAGGACTTCCTCCACCCAAGGCATCCTATGCCCCATTTAACAACCTGCACGTTCAGAGCAGTAACAGCTGCATCAGAGAGAGCAAGGATGGAGTGATTTTGCTTAATGTCCTTTGAGGTATGAGACTCTAATAGACAAGCTTTATTATGGTCACATCTCAAGGAATACCTGTAATGCATTATAATTTTCAGTCTGTATATATCTATTTTACACAATATCCATATGACAGCCAACAAAGTCAATTTCAACGAGCTTGGGGTTCTTATAGAATCAGTATAATATTTAAGGAGGAAGGTATCTTATGAAAGGATATGAATCATAATCCAGTGTTTGAGTAAGAACTCCTGTCAGAACAAATTCTGCGCTGTGAACATCTGCAAAATATTAAAAGAACATACAAATATGAAGGATATTAATACAAAAATTTAACCAGCTTCTTCATTAGGGAAACCTAGCAACTGGATCTCAATAAAAGATGGCTAAAATGCAGATGGTCTGTTTGACCAGATAAATCAGTGGCAAGTCATATAATGGGCATCTGCCAAACACAACTGTAATCTAAACAGTGCCCCAGCTAAGAGATAAATACACCACACCCAAGAATTCTCTTGGTTTCAGTCATGAAATGATCAGGCACAAAAATCAAATGCCTTTAAGATAAGATAAGATAAGATAAGCTTTATTGTTATTGTTGTGGGCACAATGGCACACATCAAAAATGAAATTTAGTTGCCTGCTCTCAAAGAGAAATACATACATGACACGTACCTAAACATACTATGTACAACATATGTATAGACTCACACCCCTACATATACATAACAAATAAATATTAAATACTGTCTATCTTGAATATATAATGGAAGGAGGAGGTTTGAGAGTTCACAAGTCCTATTTAGACTATTTTAATATCTTACTTGATGGCATAATGAAAGATATCTTTACCAGCGACAACAAAAGGAGATGGGATGCACAAAAGCTTGAGAAAAGAAACAGGAAGGGATAGTACTGTCTGGGTGCTGCTTAATAAAAAGTCATCCTGATAAACATTTAAAAACCATCATTTCCAGAGATTACTTGCAGGGGTATGTTACTGAAAATATAGAATGCTCTTTTGGAGTCCGCAAATATAATTAAAAATATATTTTAGTTTTTATTGACAAAGATTCAGATTGCATTCTTAAATAGCTAATAATGTTGAATGGAGAATTTAAACCAGTAAAGGGAATAAATGCAAAAAAATCTATCCATTAACAGTGATAATAATTACATTTAATGACTAACAATAGTGTTAGTCTTTCCCAACAGTAGGTTTCAAATGGCAGCTGTTAAACCTCCACATAATTGTCAATGTCGGCATCTTTGGCAACTCATTTCTACTTTTATTTTCTATTCTGTTACACTAATCCATCTCTCTTTCACACTATGTATAAATTCAACTTGGAACAAAATAGTACTTCCTATATCTGATAAACTCAGTAACTGTCTAGAGTTGCTGGGAATCAGGCAGCATATAAATTTAATAATCATAAGCATCTTTAATATTCAAAGATGCTTGTTATTTCTAATTATTGCCAAGAAAATATATTTGACCATTCTGTTATTTCATTAAGTAATTCTCAACATTTTGAGAGAGTAAGAAAACGACAAAAAAAAAGAAAAAAGAAAAAATACATTTCATTACAGAATGCACAAAAATAGGATATAGTCCTTGACTTACAAGGACAAGGAAGCCCAAAATTTCCATTACTAAGCAAGGTAGTTGTTTAGTGAATTTTGCCCCATTTTACAACTTTTCCTGCAACAGCTGTTAAGTGAATAACTATACTTAGTAACGTAGATGAATCTTGCTTCCCAATAGATTTTGCTTGTCAGGTCATAAAAGGGGATCACATGATCCCAGGACACTGCAGCCATCATAAATATGAGTCAGTTTCCAAGTATCCAAATTTTTAATCACATGGCCATGGGGATGCTGCAAGTGTCATAAGAGTTAACAATGGTCGTAAGTTTTTTCCAGTGTGATTGTAACTTAAAACAGTCACTAAATGAATGTTGGAAGTTTAAGACTACCTGTACATTATCTGGCCAAAGTAAGATTGAAATGCAAATACTGTCAGCATGTACTGTTATTTTCTTTCTTCCTATAAGGATTTTTTTCAGCAAGATTTTTAAAAGCATCCTAATGGTAAATTTTTATGCAGGCTGTCCTGAAATGAAAAATAGCAATACCAAAATTGTTCCAAGCATCCACTGTTTTCTAGAACATTCAATTTATCCCAGAATTGTCCTTTTGGATCACATTTGTAATGTTCAAATGAAACTGCATTCAGGCTTGAAATAAAACACAAATAAATAGGTAATATTACAAAAAGATTAAGGCATAATTATTGTCTAACCCATTTTGTAAAGATATTTTGGTTGTTCATATTGATTACTGCATCAATATTTAGATGTATTTATACTGAAACAGCTTTTGAAAATAAATAATAGAAATTAAGAACAGATTCATGTAAATTCAGGAAGTACAATAAGGTAAAAAATTATATGATCCCCTGCTGATTTTGTACGTTTGCCCATTGACAAAGAAATGATCAGTCTATAATTTTAATGGTAGATTGATTTTAAAATGAGAAACAGAATAACCCCAAAAAAAATCCAGAAAAAGACATTTCAAAAAAGTTATAGATTTGCATTTTAATGAGTGAAATAAGTATTTGATCCCCTATCCATCAGCAAGACTTCTGGCTCCCAGTTGTCTTTTATACAGGTAATGAGCTGAGATTAGGAGCACTCTCTTAAAGGAAGTGCTCCTAATCTCAGCACGTTACCCGTATAAAAGACACCTGTCCACAGAAGCAATCAATCAATCAGATTCCAAACTCTGCACCATGGCCAAGACCAAGGAGCTGTCCAAGATGTCAGGGACAAGATTGTAGACCTATACAAGGCTGGAATGGGCTACAAGACTATCGCCAAGCAGTTTGGTGAGAAGGTGACAACCGTTGGTATGATTATTCGCAAATGGAAGAAACACAACATAACTGTCAATCTCCCTCGGTCTGGGGCTCCATTCAAGATCTCACCTTGTGGGGTTTCAATGATCATGAGAACACTGAGGAATCAGCCCAGAACTACACAGGAGGATCTTGTCAATGATCTCAAGACAGCTGGAACCATAATCACCAAGAAAACGATTGGTAACACACTACGCTGTGAAGGACTGAAATCCTGCAGTGCCCACAAGGTTCCTCCTGCTCAAGAAAACACATGTACAAGCCTGTCAATGTTTGCCAGTGAACATCTGAATGATTCAGAGGAGAACTGGTTGAAAGTGTTGTGGTCAGATGAGACTAAAATCGAGCTCTTTGGCATCAATTCAACTCGCCGTGTTTGGAGGAGGAGGAGGAATGCTCCTTGTGACCCCAAGAACACCATCCCCACCGTCAAACATGGAGGTGGAAACATTATGCTTTTGGGGTGCTTTTCTGCTAAGGGGACAGGACAACTTCACCGCATCAAAGGGACAATGGACGGGGCCATGTACCATCAAATCTTGGGTGACAACCTCCTTCCCTCAGCCAGGGCATAGAAAATGGGTCATGGCCCACCCCTATCCCAACCCCACCCTGAATACCACTACCCATATCAACCCTGTCTTTCCCCTACCTTTATAAAACTTAATAAAATATTGTCAAAAAAAAAAAAAGAAAAAAGAAAATGGGTCATGGATGGGTATTCCAGCATGGCAATGACCCAAAACACATGGCCAAGGCACCAAAGGAGTTGTCAAGAAGAAGCACATTAAGGTCCTGGAGTGGCCTAGCCAGTCTCCAGACCTTAATCCCATAGAAAATCTGTGGAGGGAGCTGAAGGTTCGAGCTGCCAAACGTCAGCCTCGAAACCTTAATGACTTGGAGAGGATCTGCGAAGAGGAATGGGACAAAATCCCTCCTGAGATGTGTGTAAACCTGGTGGCCAGCTACAAGAAACGTCTGACCTCTGTGATTGTCAACAAGGGTTTTGCCACCAAGTACTAAGTCTTGTTTTGTGAAGGGGTCAAATGCTTATTTCACTCATTGAAACGCAAATCAATTTATAACTTTTTTGAAATGCGTTTTTCTGGATTTTTTTTTTTTGTTGTTGCTATTCTGTCTCTCACTGTTAAAATAAACCTACCATTAAAATTATAGACTGATCATTTCTTTGTCAGTGGGTAAACCTACAAAATCAGCAGGGGATCAAATAATTTTCTCCCTCACTGTAGCATATGGTTTGGGGCAACTGTAAAAAAATTAAAAACTGTGTGATAAGCAATATATCCACAAAGCAACCACTAAGTATACCTTTATTTATGAAATTTAGATGCTACCTGACTCAGAAGTGACTCTGACAGCTTACATTAATAGCAAACAAAATTTGTTGCGTGTTCCTGTCAAAGCTCTGGTCATGCCCTGAAACCAAAGGACAGCTGAGGCTTTGGACAGATTTGTGCTTGTGTGGCTTCTCATGACCACACATTCCCTGTGGTTCACACAGGAGATGCAGGTTCTGAAAAGGACTAAGAGATGCTTAGAGCCCTGCTGGAGAAAAAAAGAGAGATGAAGCCAACCAGACACACCTCAGAGCTGCTACCTCTTGGCAGTAACAGCAGCAAAACACCATTATTTATCTGCCCTTATTATGTCCATACAGTGCCACTCAGTAGTCCTGTTCAGGATCACCCGGTCCTTCCTGGAACAGGAAGGTTCAGGTGATCATCTTCAGAGTGACATAGAGGAATTTGTGGAACACCTGATAGATAGGTTGCTCAGATTCGTTCCCAGTTGGAACCTACGTGTGGTGCAGGTCCATGTGAGATGCCTGGGGAAAGGTCTTACCTGGTTATCTGGGAACAATTTGATCCTGTTGAACCTGATAAAGTGGACAAGTTCCTCAATGCTCTCAGTGCCACTATCTGCCAATTAGATCCCTGTCCCTCCTGACTGGTGAAAGCCTCCAGGACAGTGACAGCCAGGTAAGTTCAGGCAATGATAAAGGAGGGCACGTGTCCAGGACCTTTGAAGGTCTTGGTTTGCCCCCTCCTTAAAAAAAAATCACTGATTGATCCTACTTGTTTAGACAATTTTCATATAGTTTCCCACTCTCCCTTTTAGGGAAGGTGGTAGAAAAGGTGGTTACTTGGCAGCTTCAGAGGGTCCTGGATGAAATTAATTATCTGGACCCCTTCCAGTTAGATTTCAGGCCTGGTTATGGGACAGGAACAGCACTGCCATACTTACGAATGATCTCTGGCAAGAGCAGGATGGGTATATAGTACATTCATTGTTCTTCTCCTTGACCTCTTAATAACTTTCAATACCATTGAGCACAGTATCCTTTGGGGCCAGCTGTGGGGTTTGGGGTTGGGCAGCACAGTTTTCATTGGTCTGACTCCTTCCTCCAAGGCCATTCCCAATTGGTGTTGAGAGGGAATGAGAGATCCAGTCCACGGCTGCTCCTTTATGGTGCGCCATAGGGCTCAGTACTCTCTCCACTCCTTTTTAACATCTACACGAAGCCCCTAGCTCAGATCTTTCACCACCAAGGGATGAGGTACTAACACTATGCTGATGATGTTCAAATTTACCTCTCCATCCCAGGTGACCCAAGTGATGCCTTGAGGCTGAGTGGGTGTGGATGGAGGATAGCAGATGTCAGCTCAAACCTGCTAAGACCAAGCGGCTTTGGATACATTAGAGCTTCCAGCTCCAGGATTTCACATATTTAGTTCTGGGTGGTATTTGCTCTACCACAGACAGACCAGTGCACGATCTGGCGGTTCTCCTGAACTTGCAACTCCTACTCAATCAACAAGTGATGGTAGTATCTAGGAGGGCTTTTGCACAACTTTGTGTTTTGCGCCAGTTGCACCCTTTCCTGGATTCAGTCACTCTCAAGCCCTGGACATCTTACAGCTGGACTATTACAATGTGCTCTACACGGGGCTACCCTTGAATAGTATCAGAAGCTTCTGCCGTTGCAGAATGCAGCTGTGCTGGCAATTCTTGGGCTCTGTAGGTGGCCCATGTTACGCTGCTGTATTGCAAGCTTAATAAACAAACAGCAAAACAGAAACAATTGTAAGAAAATCCTATGCATAATTTTAGCATTATGGTGAAGCTCTGGAGTCTGAGAGAGCATGAGGCAATATGCAATACATAAATAAATCCCAAAATACTCATGTATTATATATCAAATTGCATCTTTAAACATGTAAGTGTCACCCCCAAGGATATTAAGCACCTACCTATTTTCCTGGTAAAGTATTCTCGACATAAGTGTAGATCATTTTCACAAGAGATAAGGATAATCTCTGACAAGCTCTAAATTAAAAAAAAAGAACCGAATTAATTAATATAGTTTACAGCAAAATATTCCATAAAAAAAACAGAAGTAACACCCACCTTATTTTGTTTGTGTTCCATAACTGTTCTGAAAGAAGGTTGTTTAGATAATAACTTCCCACCTGCAGATTCCACAATCGATTTCATAGTATACAGACTAGGACAAATTCCCGGAGTAATATAGAAATATTTCCCCTAAAACAAGAAAAGTGTAAAGCACATTTATATTTTACCCATTTCTATGTGTATATTTGAAGGTATTTATATGTTTCTACTTTTTTCGAGGCACAAAAGCCTTTGTCAAAAATAAGGTTTTTGGCAAGAATAAACATTCTTGAGGGTACACAAGGAACAAAATCGAAGGAGACAATCAAGCAAGGAATAACATTAAAGCAGGATGTTGCTGAAGGATCTGACATCCCTTATACTACTTGGAGGACCCTGAATAGGCTGAGAGTTGCACTGCCTTAATGTAGAACCAATATGCTCAAGTGGACCTTAGCAGATAAAAACACGCTGTGTGGATGTAGAGAATGGCAGAGCCTGGCCCATCTGCTGTTATGTTGGCTACTACCAGAAATATGTACCAATAATGACTTCTTTTTGGCCAAGAACAAAGCCAAGAAAATGGCTTCATTTGTTTGATCTGGATACAAAAGAAGAACAGACAAGACAATATTTATATTTACTTCTGACTGGAAACCCATGTGGATTTTTGCAAAAAACAGAAAAAGTTAAACTTATGATTTATGGTTTTGAAGGCCAGACAGCATAGATTATAGAAAGAAGAGAGAGATAAATTATAATTGTACTTATAACTGTTATAAAGATCAGAAGTCGCTTTTTGTATCTTTTTTCTTCTACTTTTACTTTCTTCTTTCCACTTTTAGCCTTCTGTTTGATTTCTATTTTTTCTTCCTTATTCTATAATAATTTGTATTAGCTTTTGTGTGTAGGGAGGTCTATATGGGGGTGCAATGTTTGCAACTTTTTTGCCTAACATAAAATAATGCATCCTGTACACTTTAACTTTCAGGAAAAAATTTTTAAAATTACTTCCCTGTCCAATATTTTGTGGAAACTCTAAATGAATCTTGTTCTCTCATTTGCAACTGAAAGACAAGGAACATTTCAGGCAGATCGGTGGGATTAGTAAATAAAATACAATTGGTTTATTTATTTGAAGTTATTTGGTTTATATCCCACTAGATAATTTATGAATGAGGTGGCTGGATGGAGTCACTGAAGCAGTAGGTGTGAGCTTAAATGGATTCCAGAAGATGGTAGAGGATAGGAAGGCTTGGAGGAACGTTGTCCATGGGGTCACAATAGGTCGGACACGACTTCGCAACTAACAACAACAGCAAGGTAATTTATATTTCTCCAGAAATTTACAATGGTTTACCAGGGATCATTCTCCCCTAAAGTACCCTTCCTTGTGAAGGAAGCTGGGAAGAGAATGAGTGACTGACCCAAACAGGTTTCTTTTTCCTCTCTGATTTTATTACATCACCATGCCGCCTAAAAGCATTTGTTACAAGATATAGCAAGCGCCCTCACAAAGTTAATCTGCCTGGAAGCTCTGAAGTTGGAACCATACAACTCCTTCAAAACACCCAGGAAAAATTTGTTTGAATTAGAAATGTGACCGTAGGTGAGATGCAAACAACGCCCTGCCTCACCTTTTCTCCTACAAATCCAATTTTGAGGCACCATCCTACTGGTTAGGACTGGTTAACAAGTTCCTTTAAAGATAATGGAATCATCCACAAATCAAAATGGCAATAGTTCTTTAAAAGTTGCATTATATATGAGAAATTGCTTATACCAGCCATTTTCTAGTAGGTCTTGTTTTCAGTTAATTTTCCATCATAAACTTTAAACAAAATTCACACTGCCATCAAGAGTCAACATATAAAACTACCATACATAATGCATAAAACTGTAGTATAGATTTTTCTGAAATTATCTGCACCTAAAGAGTTTTCCTATAGAAGTCTTGATTCCATTTTGACTTCCTAAGCACAATAGTCAACTCACATATGTCAAGCTAAGATAGTGACTTGTGACTGGCTGGTAAACAGAGTTCATCAATAAAGGACAACATTTGTAGCTCATGATTGAAATGAGGGGTCCTTGGAGCTTTCTGAGCTTGGTAAGGTTTTTTTGTAGATGTTTCATTCCTGAAATTAGGTAATATCATCAGTGCCAGTGATAACATCAACAGAGTTAATTTTTTTAAGTCAAAGTCAACCAGGATTTATGTTAATATTAATTCAGCAAACTAGTCATAATTTCTGCTCTATTTAGAGATTGCCATGAATTAACTCACGAAACGGACCCAAAATAAAAACACTAATGCAGTTGTAATCCACACTGTTTTTAGAAACCAAAATCATGAATTCCTACAACTAATGTTGGTCTATTAGATAGTTGTGTTTAGACATATGTATGTTCACTTTTAAAGCAAATGGTAAAATTCCATTTCCTTTCCAAGTTGTTTTTCTGGTTCCCAATTTCTCTCAGGTTAGTCTCCTGTGGCTTTTTCTTTTTAAATTGAATGACACAGATTTCTCCCCTGGAATTCTCCTTAAAGATATGTTCTTTTGTCCATGTTGCTGATCTTATCCTCTAATATGTGACGACATATGAATCTGCAGCTCTCAGTAAACAAATACAATTATACCTTAAAGAGTGGTGCCGCTTGCGCTCTTTTTAGAGATTCTTCCAAACTGAAAGAGAAAAGGACTTCAGCCTCTGCATCTCGGAGCATGTAGTTTTGTTCTTCTATAAAAAAAGGGGAGTAGGGACATAACTTTAATTTTTCAAAACATAAGATGGTGAAAGCATTTACTCATTCTTAAAAATTATTCTGAGAAAGTTTGAGATGCTTACCTTACCTTGAGTTACCTCACCACTAGCAATCAAAAAGTTAAATACTTCATTGGAGTTCACTAGGTTTACAGAGTGGAAAACCACCAATTAAATAATAAAGCTGTATTAATGCCTTTAAAGAATGCATGTAAACACTGCAATACAAGAAGTTCTTAGTTTACGATAGCAATTGGGACCAGGAATACCATCACTAAGCAATGCAGTCATTAAGTGCAACATAACTTGATTGCACTGCTTAGTAACGGCCAATACGAATTGCCATAGTAAACTCAGGATCATGCTAGTTGTTAAGAGTTCAGACAAGGTGTGGGAGATCCTTTGGGAGGGAGGGAGAGGGCTGTGATCAAGTGCACATAAAGTGCAGATGGGCTGGCAGAAGCTGTGGGTGAATGGGAGGCTGCTATGGATGGGCAGGCACTGGGGTGGGTGATATACAGAGCACAAGATCCCTGGGAACAATTTACCAGAGGAACTTTTGACCTTCCCTTCCAGCTTTTTCCTGTGAGAAGCTGACAGGAAAGGTCATAAATGGCAAATCCATGGCTGTGGCTCACTGCAAGCAGGGCACCCAAGTGCCTTGACCTTGATTGCAATCATGTGACTGTGGAAATGCTGCAATGGCCAGAACTTCGATCATACATCCATTTTTTTAAGCACTGCCATAACCCTGAATAGTCACTGACAAATGAACGTAAGCCAAGGACTCACACAGAAGATGAAAAACAAGGAGGAGGAGGAAGAGGAGGGGGAGGAGGCACAATGAAGACGGAGTCAAGCTGTTCTTCAAAGCACCTGAAGGCAAGACAAGAAGCAATGGATGGAAACTAACCAAAAAGAGAAGCAATCTAGAACTAATAAAAATTTCCTGACTGTGAGAACAATAAACCAGTGGAAGCGATGAATACTCCAACATTGGACGTTTTTAAGAAGAGACTGGACAACCATTTCTCTGAAATAGTATAGGGTTTCCGGCTTAGAAGATCTCCAAAGTCCCTTCCACCTGTTTTCTGTTGTATCACATTCTTTAGACTACTAACACAGAGAGGTTAGAGGTAGAATCAGAAATGGACTTTTGGATGAATTGACTAGTAGGAGACCTGTTTCAAAATGACACACCAGCTTATTCTATTCTAGTCAAGCACATTAAAAAAAATAGTATTTTAGAGGAAAAAAAACATCTATTCAAATTACTTCAGTGAAGTTGATTTACTTATAAACAAAAAAGACACCCATTCCAATGAAAGTTTCACTGTCGCATTTGAAGGAAGGACTCCACAACACGACTCTTACTTTGTTCAACATGGCCATTTACTAACCTATAAATTTCTGACATTTGAAACATTCTTCCAACCATTCCGGTGTTACAATATGTTTTGCAATTGAAACTGCTGTCAGGAATTTTACAGTGCGGGTCACTTTACTAGCTATCACGTGAGTACACTTCTGTGCAGTCTCTGCTATGTCACCCCCAAGAACATAGACTTTCTAAAATGGAAGGGAAAAAAAGCGTTTTAGAACTTTTAGTCATAATAAAACAACAGACTAGAGAATGAATCATGATTATACACTCAATGGACAACCATGTATGAGAAAAAATACTTTTGAAAAATAATGCTCAATTATTACGAAGTGGCGTTTTGATGCAGTTACACATTCAATTTGTCAGTGGAGATAGCCAGCATGTTGTAAAATCAATCCTAAAATCATATGAAATCTTTTAATTCAAGAAAGAATTTACCTTAATGTATTGATGTGCTTGAGCAGGCTCAAATCCTGTAAAAAGAACCATTGGAGTCAATTCTGGTGGCAGTTTTTTTGTGGGTGCTGGCAAGTCTTCAATTCTAGAAATACAAAGTTAACTTAATATTATTTTTAACTTGTTTAAATCAAGTAACTTAATAATTACTTTCTAAATCCAAAACTAGGGCAACACTGTATAGTGCTCTGCAAAGCTAAATATCTATAAATTAAAGAATTTTTACCATTTAGTAGATTATAAAATAAAAGGAACACGTCTGCTTTTGCTGTGATATTTCATGTTCCTTTGACATGTCTCTCACTTTCAAATGTTTGCTCCTTGATTTGACCCCTTCGTTATAGCTTTTTTCCAGATATGTACAACTCAAAAACATATGATGTTTAAAATCTAAAAATAATTTCATTTCAGTAACACCACTTCCAAGCAACTATTGAGCTGCTTAAGCATTGTCATTCTCTTACCTCGGCCTTTTGGTTGAAGGTTGAATTACGGTTTCATTCTGCTTTGGTTTAAGTGGTAATCTCATGTTCTACAATTAGACAAGGTATAGAATTGGCTTTCATAAGGACCTTTTTTTTTTTTTAGTTTTGTACCAATATCTTTAAATATATATAAAAACATACACTGTATTAAAATCACATATGTGCACAGCATAACCCTGCTCCTGCCAACTCATAAAATTAAATGGAAATAAATTCCAGGAAAATAACTGTATTATAGTCATAATGCTGCAGGAGAAAAAGATACATGTATTATGTACTTAAAAGTGTTGTGATGTTTTCCAAACAATTTTCTTTTAAGTACGTTATATAGCATAATTCATCAATTATTACATAAGCATCTAAGACATGTCAAACTTGCGACGTCATGCGATGTTGCGCAACATATCAGGACAGTTTTGCCATTGCCAGCAATGGGATGGTCGCGGCTTCCAGATGACGCATTTGGCCCGTGGGCCGGCAGTTTGACACCCCTGATCTAAAACATTCATAGTAGAGAATTCAGGCCACGAAGAACACAGTGATCCACATTCATATATATTGCAAGTTCAGGATTTGATATTATGCACACAAGTAGGACTATGCCTATTGAAATGCTGAGCTCAAGCAGCTCCCAAGTTGCTCTTCTCTCTCTCTATGCTGAGAGATCCATGGTGTCTTCCTTGTTTACTGATCTCTGGGAGATGTAGTTGCAGAAGCAATGGTGCAGGAAGGCCAAAAGGGATTCTACAAATACAAGCTCAAAACTACACCATAGTGAAAGGCAATGTAAAGTGTAGTTGTTCTCCCAAATTGTGCTATCGGCTAACAGCTGTTGGTGTTGTTCAGGGTGAGCAATTCACTTCTTGGGAATGAATTAGATCTTAGATTGTCTATTTGGTTGTTGCAACCAGTTTGCGCAGCACTTTGTTGATAAAGTTGCTCTGAGTTGCCAATTCTTCCTGGGTGAGTCTGATGTGGTTACTGGGGTTGCACCTTGCCCTGTTATTTGGGACATTTCATGGCCTGTGGACTCTTGGACAGGATACTCGTTTGCTCCTTGTAAGCTGGATACATATTCCTCTTAAGACTGAGATCGTGAAATAGACTGGATTGAGAGATGATCAACGCCTCATTTCAGGAGGAACTGATGCTGGTATCCTTTCCCTCCTCAGAAAACCGCCCCTGGATTTGCTCCATCATTGTATAGGAGGAAGAATAAAGTAGAACTAAGTTTCATGCAAAGAGAATCATAGATTTAAATGGGGGGAATGGGGGTGCAACATTAATGCAAAAGAGCGTACAACAGAGTCCAGGAACTGGATAAGACTGTCCACTCTGATTAAAAAACTACGGTAGTTAAAGCTCTGCATGCAATAAATAGTGTTCTGATTGGGTGAAACTCAATTCAGTTTTATTCATTTTTCTATAGGAGGAAGCAGCAAGCAGAGCCTGGCACTTTATGGAAGCCCATTCTTACTGGCAGTCTTTTGTCCTAATTACTGATCATAACCAAGCTGGAAATTCCCTGTCAGCTGTGGAAGTTCTTATGCAGACACTGCATGTGATTTCCAAGGAAGGAAGGAAATGTAATCCTCAGGTATAGCATCTGAGAAATTTTAAATAAAAAGTAATATAAAAATATTTTAAACAATATAAATGTTGTATAATCTATAATCTCATCACTTTTTCACATGCATTCTTTTTCCGTTTCCCCCACGTGTAAAGGCGTTTAAAGTAACACTACGTACCATTTGAAGTTCAGGTGACACCTTTAAAGGAACCCTCCAAGCATCTGGAATTAATGAATAGAAACAGCAAGAAACTCTTACACCAAGGCCTGGTTTCTGTGAGGCTCCAGTACTTCGGTCAATGTCCGTTTTGTACATCTACCCTTTTTAGCCAATTAGGACACACAATTTAAAAGCCCATAGAAAATCCACACATGATGCAATTACCCTAGGTTTAAGATTATGAATATAATACTGTTTCATGTAGTTCTTCCTATCATTTCTCCCTCTCCATTAAACTGGGTATCTCAACGGATTAAGTTGATACAAGACAACTCAAAGCAATTAATTATATCACAGGAAAATCATCATAATAACCAAATAATCATCTATAAAGCTAGATGATGCCATTTTAAGATATAATTTATATTAAAGGATGTTTCATGGAATCTTCCCTTTGAACTGAATCTTCCATATCTCCTTTTTCTGGCGGGGTTATACTTCTGCAGAAAGTACTGAAAAATGAAATGCCTATGAAATAAAATATTGCTAGACTAGAATTTTTTTTCTTCAGATGGACATGTTTATTTGTATCTGATAAATGATTTAAAGGGTTTCATTTATTCAGTTTACAGATTAATAAGGTTAGCATGACTATCACTAATCAAATATTACTTTATCACCTGTTTTTAAAGAGAAAGATACATACTTAAAAAAATAAACTTGGATTTGAAACCAAAGATAATCAATGGTTAATTTGGTTTTAAAATTATTTTTATGCATATTACGAATAAATCTCATTAAACTTTAAGATCCTTATTTGTGTCAACATGCTTAGTTCATGCTATCAAAAGGAGCACACATAGTGCATATAATGGTATGTCCAAAAGAAGCAACAAATTATTATTTTACACTGAAATGCAATGGTTGTAAACTTTTGCAAGTCTTCTTACCAAGAAGATTTAGAACTAGATGCTGATTAGGAGCAAAGGGTTCCTGAAGACTGAAAACTGTGTATCGATTGTGCTGCATTTGCCGCAAAGCTTCAAAATTTCCAAGTAAGATATCACAGAGCCATTGTGTATTGACACAAGGTATCCTCCACTCTTTGGCCTTTTCATACTTTATGCCAGTTGGCCTTGAAATAGTAAAAAAAGAGTCAATGATAAGGAAGCAAGTCAGAACACTTTCCCTACATGATGTTCTCCAAATACACTGGGACTGTATTTGGAGATACCGTTCAACTCAGTCAGCTTTCAATAAGCACCCCAGAGTGCAGAAGATGTCAATATTGCTAATTTGTTAAAACTTCACATCAAATAGTACTTATTATAAATTCTATAATATACTATTTTTTTATAAAAATGAAAAATCACTTTGGAACCATTGGAACAAACCATTTTGAGGGCCTCTGTGCTAGTTTTTTATAGAATAGACAGTAAGACGTAACACTGTAAATGAGGAAGAACGTACACCAACATTTTTAATGTAACACAGCATAACACAGCCAGGAAAACTAAATGCTTGTATTCTGAAAAACGGCTGTAAAAAAGCAGACATAAAATGGGATCCATCAGTGTTATTCACATTATTATTCTAAACAGCACTTACGCTTTACATATAAGAATGGTGTTACTGCGACAAAGATAGCCTGTATATTTTGCTCCTGCTAGGTAGGCCATCAACTTGAGATCGACTCTGTCATTATCCACAAAACCTGTTACAGCAATTATCTGGACAGAAACAAATGAAATGACTATAAACATGTTGGTTATTTTATTTTTTTTAAGTGACATTAACCTTTAACTAATTCAGTATTTCTCAAAATAAGATGGAATCACAACTCCCAGAACAAATACAAGTTCCTGTATATGGGCAAGAATACAAGACTGCACAAATGCATCTTCTTCAAGAGGAAGCGTGTCTTAGTGAGTTAACTCCAAAAGATGAGAAAAAAAGTTAAACCTCTATGCCTCAATACTAGAGGATTGCATTATCTCCTGCAGAAGTTTCAAGGCAGAGAGGCAACCACACTTTTCTCTTTACTGATATTGGGTCAAAACACAGGCCTTTCTGAGTTGAAATCTCCCTCTGGTTTCCTGGATTGAGACAAGAGCTAGGAGTTCCTTTTAACAACTCTGATTCTCTAATTGTATCCCTTCTGGAAGAAAACTACTGTAGGGTTTGGGCTCCAGGGGTAAATACTACAATATGCTTCACATGAGATAGCCTTTACAATTAGTAAAGAAAGTTCACTAGGACAAAATACAGAAGTCAGAGAGATGACACTGTATCTGTGCTAAAAGCATTAACACTGACTGGCAATTTGTTTCTAAATGAAATACAACATGGTGCAGGTAGTCCTAGTTAAACAAGCACTCATTCAGCCAACATCCAAAGTTACAGTGCTGAATGCAGAGTTACAACAGATTCTTGCAATTGCGACCATTGCAGCATCTCTGTGGTTACATGATTGGGATTCGGGCACTTGGCAACCGGTTCACAATTATAATGACTGCAGTATCTCACAACTACGTGATGGCATTTGCCACATTCACTGCCCGTTTCTGACAAGTAAAGTCAATGGGAAAGCTGGCAGGTTCACAAAGGGCAATTCTGTGACTGTGGAATGCTGTGATCACATGGAGTTCATCTAACAACAGCACTTGCCACAATTGTTGGTGTAAATCAATGCAATCATGTGACATTGTATTTTATAACATCACTTAGTGATGGAAGTTCCCAGTTCCAATTACTATTCCTAAGCAAGGATTAGCTGCGACTATTACGTGGGTGAAAATGGCCAAATTTTAACATTTCCCCCCAAATATTAACAGCGGTTCCTCACCATCTCTTAACCACCTAACTTTTCTCAAATTCTCCCGAATTGCCCTTTTCCAGTCAGATTTGTGACTTTTGGGGAGGGACATTTTCCCACAGTTTTAAAGCTGTGAATAGCAGTGGGAGAAGCGTAGAAGGCAAACCTGCAAAATTATATTGTCTAAAAATGGATCGCTATGTATTTTTGAACTCTATATAATATCAGCAGTAATTTCGAAACAAAAACTTAGATTAAGCTTCTTACATGCTGAGAACATGGTTTTCCTCCGGGTGGAAATGCTACTGGAAAATGACGAGCTCGATGGGGTGGTACCATTTTCTTCTTTTTTAACATAGAATTCAGCCAGTGGGCAGTGATGCATCTTTTCCTTTCTTTCAAAGCCTATAATATTCACATGCACGGCAGAACATTGTTACTATAGGTCTTAATTTACCACATTTTATAATAAATACATACAATATTTTTTTAAAAGATGAACAAAATGCATTCTTGGTGCATTAAGTTTTCTGTTACAACTTCTGAATTAACACTAGGTCTGAAAGTTCAGATATGTACGCTGTAGTACATAATACCAAATGCTATATGGAATTTATTTCTTAAACTTATCTCTTGACATATGTAGTATGATTTCTTCCATTTTTTCCTTCATATTAATAACCAGTAGATAAACTGATTTACAAAAAAGCAAATGCCTTCTTCATCTAGTGCTATCAGTAAATTCATTCATCACCTTAAACATTACACTGTTGTGGCCTTTTTTTCTTTTTGCTTCAGGTCATTTTCAACTTCATTTGAAAATGAAAAGTGAAGGCACTTGCCTCACAAACATGATATAAGAACACATTATCACATTAGCTTTCATGGGCTGCAGACTCTTTCTAGAATTTCATAATAAAGCTCTAAAAATCTGGCTGTGCTCCCGAGCCTGGGACGCTGAATGCATTAGAGCTCAATTTCCTGCCTTTATTGTTAACTAGCCAAATATCTCAATTGCTATACCTATTTATTTTTGATAAATATTTTTACTTATTATTTTAAAATATTTTTATTGTTTTAACTGTACATTTTTTTTAATTGTAAGCCTTGTAGAAGTTGAATGAATAAAAATTCAGTTCAAAAACACCTCCATTATTATTGTTTTGTATTGTGAAATAATATAGAGAAAGAGAGAAACCCACTACTTTTTTTTTGTTAACTGCTTTTCATTTTTCTTCTTTATTTCAAGAGTACTTAAGTCTGCACTCAGCACATTTGTCTTCAAGTGATTCATTTTATTTACTTGGATCCCGCCTTTATAGCTTTCATAGGTAAGACAGGACTAGAACTCTTGGGTCTCCTAGTTTCTAGCCTAGTACCTTAACTCTAGACCATACTGATTCCCATGCATTGTGGGAAAATATGTTGTTTAGAAAAATTGCAGGCACATATCATGCCTTATTCCCCTCATATCTGAGCCTTCTCTCCAGAGTTAGCATAGCAGAGTTACCAATAAAGCTGCAAGCCTGAAACAGGTGCAGGAGGAGAGTGGAGGAGAAGGGTGTCTTGGAACAACCAGCAAACAATGTAAAGTTCTCTCTGCTATACAGTAATCACACATGATTAGCCAGTAATTCAAGCCACATTTTTTTCCTAACATTGGCAGACATCAAATACTAATACAAGCAGCAGAAAAAAATTCCTAGATTTAATTTGGATTTATTTTAATTTGGTTTATTTTGCTCTTGAACCAATGAGACCCTGATTTGTTTTGTTTTTGAGCCAATGAACAACTTCCTAGTTAAACTTTCTGGAAGAAAAGGGCAATATATTAAGCTTCAAACTTCAAGATCTCATGGTTTGGAGAGTTACATATTAATTGTATAGACTCTCTGCTACTGATAATAAAAGACTATATATACTATATTTTAAAAATGTAGAAAGATTTTTACCTTGACTAGAAATTATATATGGTATTTTGTCATACCTGTGCATACATATTACTAAGTTGACTTTCACAAAGAAGATGTGTACATCGGCTTGTAAGTGTAGGATCAACTGTACCACCATGAGTCTGGATTACCTAAAATAAAAATTAAGAAAATTTAAAAGACATGTCAGTCTAACATAATAAATATAGAAATGTTTGAAGCTACCCAGTCAGTAGGAAAAAAACCCTAAAGCAATAAGATGAAATACTGCATCTTTTGGTGAAAACAAGTATATCTTGGATATTGATAAACATATTTTATTAGAATTCATTTGTTACAAAGAAACTATTGTAAATTTATTTTTAAAAATAGGTTAATTTGATTTTTCATTAAAAATGTACTTAGAAATTCTGATTAGAAAAATATTCACAAATAGAACTTATATTCACCCTTTTCCAAGTTGCCAACAGTTGTTTATCAGACATGTGTTCAGGGTAATCAGCAATTGCAAAGACGCAACCCAGTAAGAAATATTCTTCAGGAACTGAAAAAAATAATGCAGTTGAAATTAATCTAAAATACTTTTTTCTCTTAAATTGTAATTAATGCAATCATCTTCAATGGTATGTACATGTAAGACTTGGCTCCTTCCAAACCAATCAAACTGATCAATACTGAGATGCAGATCCCTGGTCTTTACTTGTCTTTCACAAGCTTCTTGCTAAGTGTATGCAAAGCATTTCAATTCCCAAATAGTCATTTCAAAGATTCCAAGACTGAAAGAAAGTTCAACCTTGAGAATTTTGTTTCAAGATAAGAACAAATTACATTGTCTTGCTCTATATTTTGACCAATATTATCCCAAAGTTCCCAAAGTTCCAACAGCCATTAGTCTGCTGCTTTGTGATTTGCACACTGCATCCCGTCATCCACTAGCTTAGCAGACAGCAGCAGAAACCAGTTGTGTCCTTATAGCTGTTAGTTTAGAATGAAACGGAAAATGTGGGAATGGATTGTTGAGAAAGGAGTCCCATGAGGCAGAGGTTAAGCATATCTACCAATCTGGTACTGCTATAAAAGAAAGTTGCAATCCATGTGAATGTGTGGACTGAATGCTTTGAGAGGACACGATCTGACAAATATACCCCATATTAAAAAAAAACTGACAGAGGGAAACATATTGAATTCAAATGCTAATTGTATTCAAAATTTAACCATGCAACTGAGTATTTTGGTTTTTTTCTAGTGGTCTAGTATGAAGTTAGGTAGGTTAGAAATTCATTTCTAGGTCAATCCAATTGGTGACACTTAAAGAACTGAACAGAAGTCCATAATCTTCAAAGCAGTCTTTTAAACATTTTATCTATGTGCAAAAACTTCCTCAGGGTAGGAGATATCCTTGATTTCTTTGGTATCTCATTTATAATGGCTTACATAGCACACTCTTTTTAAAACTCCTGCTTATCTACTAACATGACTTCCTTCTTTCAGAAATCCACTGAATGGGAAAGGGCTTGCCTTGCTGACAGCTGTTTGTACTGGCTACGAATACTGTGCATACTAATATATTTGTATCAACTCTAGATGATTTACTAATAACCAATAATTTAACAACCAGAAATATTTTTTTCTCATTTTAAACAATTTTTCTTCGATGTGCAAGAACAAAGTAGATCAATCACTAATCTATCTCACAGGGTTGATCTTTGGGAAAACATGGGAGGAAACATTAAGTATGCCACCTTGAAACGCTGTATTAAGTCAGGATGCATATAACTAATTAACCTACCTTCTACAGATGGGTCATGCCCAAACAGTTGATATTGCTGCAATTGTTGCTGCTGGGGATTGTGTGGTGCCTGAATTGAAACTTGATGGTGTAGCGTCTGAGATGTTGGAGTCAAGTGTTGTGATGTCTGATTTTGCATTTGCTGCTGCTGCTGCTGCATTCGTTGTAAGTGCTGCTGCTGAAGTTGTTGCTGCTGAAGTTGCTGTTGCTGCAGGTGCTGAAGGTTTTGCTGCTGAAGCTGCAATTGCTGCTGCTGCAAGTGCTGCTGTTGCAATCGATGCAACTGCTGCTGCTGAAACGGCATTGGTTGTGGAGGGCGATGCATTTGTTGCTGGGAATGTACCAGTTGGGAAGGAAAGGGGAGCTGCTGCTGCTGCTGCTGTTGCGGAAACTGGTGCTGATGGACTTGTTGCTGAGGGGCAAACTGATGAGGCTGCTGTGAGAAAGGCGATTGGGGAATCTGAGCCTGTGGTGGCTGGGACTGCTGCTGCAACTGCAGGAGCTGCTGGGTTTGGAGATGCAAGAGATGGTGATGCTGCTGCGGAGGTGGCTGCACTAGGCGTGGCTCCGGAGTCAGCTTGACCTGGCTAAGCAGGACCGCACTGGAGTGTCCCTGTTGGCTATGGTTTATCTGTGGCTCCAAAGTTTTTGTAGGTGCTGAAAGTGACTGCAAGATCTAGAAAAGAAAATGGACACTTTATTATAGTTGTTCTATTTTTCCCCCCTAACGCTTCTTCTGGGTAAAAGCTATCAAGACTATTCTGAATGAATCAAATAATAAAAAATATAAAAACTAAAAGTTAGCCTGTGTTAAAAATATTTAAAGTACATTAAAGGCAAAATGAAAGCAAAACACTGTAGCATGTTTTCAAAAGCTGAGCATGGGGAACATTATAAACAAAGCGCATCACTCCCATAAGTTTGACAAAGTCATATTACTGTCCAGAGGACTTTCCTTAAGATCTTAGTAAACAACTAGACATGTAATGAAATAAACATTTCCTTAGTTTATTAGATATTGAGATAGACCAATATTTGGAGTTTAATCTGAAAAGTAATTTGTACCAGTGAGACCTGCAATATTGCTGTAGAAATGTTTTCTTGATACCATCCCTTAGTTAACCGCATGGCTTTAAGTCTGAAGGCTCTTAAAGAGGTGCCTTAATTAGGCTGTAGATAATTGCTTCCAGTTAACTCAGACTTCAAAAATGTTACAAACAGTTCACTAAAACACAGATATGCAAATACAATTCTTCCTAGAACTACCATGTAAAAATCCAAGACTGGGTAGAGAAGAAAAATGCAATCTTATATTACCTGACTTTCAGAAAACATCCTATATTTTAATAACAAAACAAACATATTTTCCTCTTCAAAATGTTCCTTTTATTTCTGAAGTTCATAGACAAGTTAGGATCCTTATGTATTCAAAAAATACAGGATGATCAAGGTCTAAGAGCTCCAAATAGAAAATAACCAACAACAAAATTTTCAATATGACAGGTGACAAATGTGTTTGCAGTTCTGCATGCATTACTTTAGGGAAGTCACAACTACTGAATTAGAATTAAGTTCAAAAGTGCTCATTTTCAAATAATATTTTATCAACTTATATATTAAAAGTACTTACATGTGCTACATTTGATTGTCTATTAACCTGCTGAATATCAGCATTATTGGTAATATTTCTTAGTGTCCGGACTGCAGGACTCCATGTTGCCATCATTTCTGGATGTCCAGAACTTTGGGGAGTTTGTACTGAAGCCATTATATTACTTCTGATATCAGGGGACAAAATATTGCCTGGGACAGGTGGGACATTGGCACACAAATTAATCAATCCAGAGTCCTTGCCTGGAGTCAATGTGTGTTTTCTGGCAACAGTCTGTGGAACTTCAGCCGTGGTCCAGTTCAAATTTCTTTCATGCTTTTCAGGAGAGGAATCTGATGAATCATCAAACATAAGTTCCCCTTTGTTTTTGTCAGCATCAACAGACTTAGGAGAAAAAGTTCGATTGCCCAAAGGAGACCCTTCTCGAGAAGATGATGGACTTGATAACTTTTCATCAGTGCTCCCTTCATTTTGGGAATCCTGTTCTTCATTTTCTTCTTCCTCCTCCTCCTCTTCCTCTTCTTCTTCATATATTATTAAGCGAGGGTGATAGGGAACCTCATCTTTTTTGGTTTTATCAGATATAGAATCTAGAATCCAGTCAGGTGTCACAATTTTAATGTTCTCTCGTTTACTGGCACATTCGTATTTTTCCTGGAAAGGACAAAAATGTTGTTGATAGGTGAAACTTACTTACTCTGTAGTTGCTCAACTGGCTGCTCCTAGGTATCTCAGCTGAATTCATAATGCTGGTTATTACTTACCAAGCCCTACAAGGCACAGCATCAAACTATATCAGGGAACCCTTTCCTGTCCATCCTATGATGTAATCTAGAGAGGACCTGTTTAGAATGTCACCTTCTCAAAAGGTGAGAGGAACATGTATGAGAAACGAGATGTCCTTGGTCAAAGGCCTAATGCAGGGGTGTCAAACTGGTGGCCTGTGGGCCGGATGCATCATGCGCAAGCCATGCCCACCCTGGTTCCGCAAAGGCAATAAACATCCCAATATGTCATGTGATGCAATTAAGTTTAACATCTAGGGCCTAATGTTATGGAATAAATTGACATCATAATTGTGTCCAGTTTGCTCGCTTCTGACATTCCAAGGAGTGTTAAAAATACTTATTTTTCAACGGCCAATCAATTGCTAATCTGGTTATTACTAGTGGCTAATTAGGTTTTTTTTAATGCTACTTTAATGGGAGTTATGATCTGGGGGAATGCCTTGATTTATGCAGATGTTTTTACTTTATAAATAATTACCCAAAGCCTACACCTACTCCTACTTTGGAGTAGGAGACATAATTGAAATGGAACTGTGTGGTAATTAATTAACAAAAATAAATAAATAGATGGTAAAATCTGTGGCATTTGAATTATGCAACATTGAGTCCTTCTTTAGAAAATAACAGGAAATCCAGTCCTGTTACTGTTTTCACCTCCTTCATCTCTCCTTTTCCACATAGAGCAAACCTCATACCCTTCTAGCACTGATGGTGTTACCCAGCTGGGTAATGAAATGTCTGCAAGAAAACAACCAAGCTCAGAAAGCACAAAAGCACAAAAAGCAGTTCAATCCTGAGGTATTCTAACTGATTCTCTTCTATCGGTAACACCTATTTTAGCTGTAACACCAATTATTTGAAAATAACATAAGCATAAACATAATATTAGCATAATTCATAATCATTCATCAGAATATTCTATCAGTCCCCAAAACACTATTTTTGCCTAGTAACATCTCAGTCAAATTTCTTTTGATTTCCTCAAAAGTATGAAATGACTTCCATATTAATCTACTTGGTAACACACTTACAAGACTCAAATTATATTGACCTGTATTCCGTATACTAAAACAACATTAAAATGCATTAAAATTCTTACCCCTTTTGCTTCAGGCACAATCAAATGAGTACATTTTTTATTGAGGATCAAACGGCAATCCCCACCATAAAATGTAATCAAGGCCCACAACATATTCCGGTCTTCAGAGGAAACCTACCAAAAAAGGTAAGGTCCTTTAGTAGAAAATATTTTGAATTGTATATTATATCATTTAGCCATTTTGGAAAATATTTTACCTGAGACAGACAAGCAACAACTCCAAAAAAGATCTGACAGGATTCTGGGGAAAAGCCATTTACTCTGAGAAAATTAAGTCAAGGAAATAACATAAATAAAATGTAAAATATATTTTACAAATAAAAATATACAAATGAAAATATTCCCCAAACTTCACAAGAAACTATGGATAATTTTGTGCATACCATGTTTTCTAAAAAGAGAGATCAGAAATAAAATCTAGCATTATGCAATCAACAGAGGAAATGATTGATAGATAGACAGACAGACAGACAAACAGACAGGTGATCTTTATTGTCATTTTTTTCCCCTGTGGGCACAATGTCACATATTAAAAATGACATTTAGTTGCTTCCTCTCAAAGTGTATATATACATAACACATTTAAAACATACTATATACAACATATGTATAGACTTACACCCTTATATATAAGTAATATATAAATGAACTCAGTAAATTGATATTACAATCCTTATTCTGCTACAAAATTATCAGATATATCTGAGTGAATACTTTGTCTTATAAATAAACAGGATGCTTTTTGAAAGTGTATCCCACAGAACCCATAATATATATGTTTTGCAGCCTTTGTTTCCAATTATTTTAAGTATCAGGTTCAAACTATCTCACAAAATCATGGTTTTAAGAACTGTATTGTTAACATATATAAACTTGTATTTATGCAAAATGTTAAATTTGAGGGATATAAAAAATATCTACGTCTATAGAGAGAAAATGGTAATCTTAAGCTATGCAGTTAACATCACATTTTCTTTGAAACATTAAATATAGCTTTGTAGAGAAAAGGAGAAAAAGTGGCCATTGGGGACAGAATTGGTGCAAATAGAAGATATCAAAAGGGAAACAATGCTCAATTTCAACCGTAACATATTTGTATTAGGCGTCCTAAAACATGTCCTTGAAATTAACTTCATGGACACATTATTCTTGGCAGTATTACTAAAATGGTTTTTCTACTAAATAGCCTTTGTATTTCCTGGAAATATCCTATCTAACTACCAACTAGACTTAAAATGTTTCCTTTCCAAATCCAAACAAGGTTGGCCAGATGTCGTCCCTACTGACACATAGACCTTAATCAATAATTAAAATATTTATTAAAGCTATTAAACATTTGATTTTTCCAGAAAAAGAAGGAAATATATTCCTTTTTTACTATGAGCATAAAAAGATTCATATTAATAATATTAGGGGGAAATAAACATATAATAGGTAAGAAGTCTGAAAAACATAGTTATAGAATAATTATTAGAGATGTACATGAGACTGTAAATTATAATTTAGCAAATTCGTAATGTATAATCTCTACAAGATTAGAGAAATTAATTAATTCTGAAAAGAAAATGTCATAAGACAAGTTAGACAAAAATTAATAAGGAACAACAATCCAATACAATTTGTTTCACATATATACAATTTACTTACAGTAGATCAGACTAATAGGACAATGTAATTTCAAAATACTTTCTCTCAAATATTTTAAAGGACTAGCAAAGAAAGAAAAAAGAATTATTCCAATTAAGTGGACCTTGCAAGAGCATTAAAATGTAGGATGACCTTCCTTTAATTAATTCTCTGAAACAATTTCATGTCTAGCTAAAAAGCAAGTTATATTTAAAAAAATCAAATAAGTATTATATAATTCTGTTAACAGTTTCACTGGAAAGGATACGGCAGAAGAGCTCCACACTGAACTGACAAAGTCACCCAGGAAGGCTAGAATAGGTTTTTAAAAAATAATCTAATAAGTGTCAATGAATAAATATTTATATATCTGAGAATAGCCTTTGAATTATAAACATATGGTAAGCATACACACTCATCTGGTTATCCTTCATTCATCAGATATAATTGTTGGGGGTAATATGCTGACTCTGTAAATCGCTTAGAGAGGACTATAAAGCAATGTGAAGGGGTGTATAAGGCTATTGCTATTAAACTACCTTATCAAGCAAAAGGATCATGTATTTCTGTACTGTCTATGACTTGTCATTTGGCAACAGCTCTATGTGTTTTCAGACAATTTCTCCCAGGCCTATCTGTAGATAAAAAATATCGAATAGGAATCCTCTACATATATAAAATTAATAATCTGTGGCTTTTACCTTCATATTAGTATTCTGAACTATGCTGATCTATGATTATAATAAAATTGATGTATTGTTAAGGTTCCAAATATTGATAGAATTTGTTGTTATTGAAACGTATGATAACTTGTACAAGGCAACAGTAAGGACATTTCTTTTACAAATACTTTCATCAAACATTTATACCCTCCTTAGCCAGCCAGATAACAGAGATTACGGTAATTCTGATTCCAATAATCTAGGTTTTGTTGGTGTCAGTAATTTGAGCTGAGGCATTAATTTGCTGTTTACCAGTATGCTCATAATGCACACAACACAGCGCCCAAAGTGATGGACTTAGGTCTTTTCTTCCTTCCCAACACACACAAAAAGCATTTCTTTGCATGCAACGCTAGAAACATTAAGTTCTGTATCAAAATGTTAATTGTACTAAAAGCAATAGTTATTATGCTCTAAATATTTACTTTTACTACTGGAAGATCAAACACTTCACGAGATTCACCAACTTCTGGATTATCCCCATCTTCTGAAATGATGTGTGATGCTAGAGCATTATAGGAAACTTCCTTTGCCTTCCCATCTTTCAGAAGCTGAATAACCTATAACATGAAAGTGAAATGTTATTCTTTTCAATTTCAGAAAAATGCTGGTGTACAACAAATTACATTTTCCCAGACATACAGTACATACATTCATACTAACATTATCCTTTCCCAGAGAAGGCACCAATTACAATAAAGACAAATTATAAAGTTGTTTCTGGACATCAGTGAGCGACAGAAGACATCTAGTTTGTGTTCATGGCTGAACCAATGAGCTGTTCCCCTAGTTGCTGCAGAAAAAGGCTATCACTTCCTAGGTCTTTGTTTTTTAAGTTTGTTGGTGGGGAACAGGAAGGGGAAGAAAGCCACTAATCTATCCTATCAACTCTATTCCTTCTCATGTGATCATGTGGAAGGGAATTAAAACAGAAATAAATGAGAGCTCTTGAAACCAATTGGGGGGTCTTATTGCCAGAAACTGAATAAAAAAACTTCTCTCATTACCGATAGTTCATGACATGATTGATCAGGGAAGTTTAATCCTTGAAGACCTCTAGGGCTCTTTGGGATAACATTTAAGTGTCCAATCACACTGCTGACCTGCTGGTTTCCCCCCAATATATTTAAGCATGTTGTATAAATACCACTCATTTCATTAAAACTGGGCTACCTGAAGCTTTCCTTGAAAAATTCAGTTCTTGCTCTCTAGGCATAATAAACACATAGTTGGCCAAGGCAGCAATAAATAAAATGTAAGATAATAAAAAATGAAATGTAGCACAATAAGAAAGTTTTACTTTTACCATCTTTCCCCTGGATGTAAGTATTGCATGAAAGATGCTTGAATTCCACATTTATTCCATTAAAAACAATTATGTATTCAATACATCCAATATTCTATAAACGTTCCTAGTTCTCTAAGAACTTCCCTCCTTCTGCTTATGCCACATAGAATTGTATAAGATAATTTGGTCATCTGTTGAAAAAATGCTAGGAAAAGAATATAATTCTTTGTTGCACTAAACTCATTTTATTTTTCATCAAGTAAATTGCCTCTGAACACATCATTTACATGTTGAAAGGCAGAAATTTTGAAATAAAATGAAAAGCCAGAAAAACTCCTAAGTTAGCTCAATTCTTGCAAAGCATTTTATTATAAAAACAATCTTAAATTACACATGTTCCCTAGCTCATTTTATTTTATTTCATTTATATAAAGAGTTTTAGTGCAAAACTACTCATAATTCATTGTTATTTCAAAGCTTAGGAAACTATTATTTTTGACCTTGGTTTCAGCAAGATCTTGTTTTTCCAAGTCTGGACATCACAGAAAATTATGTTTACTTCAAAAATGATATTTCATTAGGGGAGGAGGAAAAGAGTAAGTATCCTGAATGAAGTGTTAAATTGCAATCATTTTATTTCTCAGATCCACATTCATAACATTGGAATGATTTAAAAAAATAGAAGTTTCAGAACACAAAAAGCAAAACTGATTTAGTATGTGTGGGGTCCATGGTGCTCCATTGTGTTTGGTTGTTTTCCTGAAAATGGGTAACGAAATGTCTGCAAGAAAAGAACCAGGTTCAGAGAGCACCAAGGACTCTCCCCCACTTCAACCCTAAGCTACAAATATTCTCTGCTATTGGTGCCACATACAGGTGATTTGATGAGTCCGTAGGTATCATTACAGAGAAGCATTTTAGGCAGAGCATCTCTTCCGGGATGTTTTTAAAGCTTTTATAATCTTGCCTACAGCCTGTGATCGCCTAGTGGTCTCTCATCTAAAAGCTAACCATGTCCTCCTTCCCAATCAACATCAGCTAACTGCCACAGGGCCATCTTCCACATCAAGAGGAGGCCGTTAGTCTTGTCGGGTTGGATGGCTTGATGTGCCTAACGGCTCTCCCCACTGACAGAAGGAGACTTCCCTGCACGCAGAAAACGATCAACTCAGGAAACGAAGATTCGACGCTATGTTTTCCTTATGCTTAACAGGTAGGAGCTGTTTCCTTAGAAGAGGAAAAATGAGGGGGAGGTCCCTTTTTGTCCACCCTGGGTGGAAGGAGCCTTTTCCTCCCTCAGATATAATCTTAAAGCAGCCCCTTGAGAGAGGTCTGCGCTCCCCCCTCCCCACCCACTCCCGCACTCCGGGGAGGAGAGAGAGAGAGGGAAGCCAGTTGTTAAAGGCTCATTCGCGAGCGGGTGAGAGAGGGGAGGAAACGGCAAGAGAGAAGGGGAGCGCCAGAGGCCTAGTCGGGGCCGCTCCCGCGCGGGGACTGAAAACAGCGCCGTCGCCGCCGGGAAGGAAAGACCACCCGACCCTCAGCTGACGGCAAAAGCTGCCCCTAGCCCTGCTTTCCCCACCTCAGTCCAGGCCGTGGCAGAGGCCTCCCCGCTTTCAGACAGGACTTGACTGACAAGAGGAGGAGGTCGGGTCACCCACACCGGACGCGGCGAACGCAGTTAACGGCCGTCGACGGAGATCTCCCTGCCCCTCCCCCTCCCCCTCCCGCGAGGGGCTACAATGATCCCCTGTCCCGCTCTCCTGAGAGGCCTCGCAAGGGCGCATGCGCCAACCCCAGCCGCACGAGCCGCTGTCATCCTAACCGACTTGAGTGGGGGGGGGGAGGACGATCGGCAGAACGACCCCAGGAACCCAAAGGCGGAAGAGCGCGCCTCCCTCCGCGGAAACGTCCCCGCAGGTACCTTGGGGTCGATGTCTCCCACCACGAAGAACTTGACATCTTTGAACATCTCCTCGGGGACTTTCAGCACCTCCTGGTCTTCCTCCTTCGACATGATCCCGTCCAGCGATGCAGCCGCTTCGGCTTCCCAGCGCGATGATTCAAGAACCCCCGTCAAGCCCGGGATCTCCCTGTGTGCTGCCCCACTCGGCGCCCAGGCAGCCGCCGAACCGTGGTAGTGGAGCGCGCGCTTTCGAATAGACCATCTCTGGCAAGGGGGGGACGGGGAAGCAGGAGGGTGGGGAGCGGGAGCTTCCGTCCGCTTGGGGCGTCTCGCAAGCCGCTTCCTATCTCTACTCTGAATGTGACAGAGTCTGTATTGATAAACTTGAAGATCCGCTAAAGGCAGGTTTGGTTTGCCAATCGAGAGGCACCCGTCCTCCCCTTAGGGATCGACATAATGGGCTCACCCCAATCTCCGCCTACTAACAAACAAGCGGTAGGAATGCCAAGTTGCAGGCTCCGCCTACTGTTACCTCGCCGTCTGTTTTTAGCTCCGCCTACCATTTTTCTCCCGCCGGCGGAGAGTTATTGATACTTTTTTGCAATCTTAAATCACGGGCATGAATCAAAAGTTTTAAAAGAAACCGAAATAAAATATTGAGTGCAGTGAAGACTTAATGCGATCCTTCCTGGAGAATTATAATATAACTGGAAGTCTATTAAAAAGGATGGAGTGGGAATAAAACCTTCATGCATTTTTCCTAATTTGTATAATTAGGATTGAAGATGGTCATTGTGAGTGGGCTCTGCAATTTAATCATCCCCAAATCTGCTCCTACTTGACTTTCCAGTTCCAAGAAAGTAATTTTTGCCAGCAAGATGCTGAATCCAAATACTCGATTTAATGGTCATTTAATGGCTCTTTGAAATTCTGAAGGACCCCAGAATGGATCCTTAATGGCTGTAAAGCACTTCTGGCCATTATAAAATATGCCACACGCCCACGTGCGCATTGTACACACACACACACACACACACACACACACACACACACACACACACCAGAGAGAGAGAGAGAGAGAGACTCCAGGTCTCTTTTTCAGCAATTGGCAATTGGCTCATTTTTATGATCAGTTGTAGCATCCTGCAGCCACATAACCATGATTTGTGGCTTTCTGCTAGTTTCTGACAATAATGCCCATTCGCAATAATGGATTTGCACTTAATAATTGCTTAGTGGCCATCGCAAAAATTATATAATTGAGTCTGATCCCCTGGGTGCCTCAGTTTATAATGATAACACCTTATGGCCAGGAATCTGCTCCTAATTCTGGCCCTAAATTGAGATTATTTGTACTGTAGTCTGCATATATTGATTATTAGGAACCCCATTTGTATCCTTTCTATTTTCAAATTGCAGGAAGTCCTCAACTGACAACCATTCTAAATTACAAAAGGTATTTATGATCTAGTTCCACAGTTAGCTCTGCTGCAGGACCCCTGTGGTCATTTAAGACCTGATTATCAACTGCAGAGACAAGACAGTTCCCCCCCCCCCACCCTCTATTCCTCTCCTCCCATCCTGTTCCATCAAGTCCCCCCAGGCACTGGGATTGTTTCCTCCTTGTTCCACACACTCTTCCCTGCCCCCATCACTGACCACTCACTTACTTTTCAAAAGTCTCTGGAGCTCAGGAGAAAAGGATAGAGAATGAGGGACAAGCTGCTCCATTGCTGAGTGAAAAACAATCTTGGCCTGGCAGACCTTAGGCTAGCTTTAGCAAGAAAAAAGGAAACCATGAGAATTTATTTTTTCTGGCTAACACTGGCAGAGCTATGGCTAGCAATAGCTAAATTACTGTGGGGATCCCATGGGGTGGGAAGTGGAGCATGGGCTGTGTCAGAGAGTGGAGGCCCAAGAAAGGTGGGCTTGTGCCTGCACTAGGCTTCCCAGGGTCTCCCCACACCTGAGATATCCCATGATCCACTTAACAATCATTCATTAACAAACAATGTTTGTTTAATTAGTGCATTGGGAAAGCAGGGATGGGAGGGTCATTAAGTGAGACTGTTCATTTAGCAGCCCTTCTGACTTCTCCCTGTAATGGACAGTCAGTTCATTATGATCATAACTAGAGGACTGCCTGCAGGCAAGGCTTTTTGCTGGGATATATAGCTTTCAGAGTTCTCTGCAAACATTTATTATGTATTTATTTAGTAAATGGCTGCAAACATTGATAACAGAATGTCGAACAGAAAATGTCAAAATGTGGGACAAAATGTCAAACAGAACTTGGGAACACAGAGAAGGCTGCAAGACATTTAAGGGCGGAACCAAAGCCTTCCCAAAAGACATCCTTGAACCTGGGAATGGGAAAAATATGTGAAGGGCACTGAAAAGAACTCAAGGTCTAGATTTAATTAAGATAAGTAGTGCAAAATTAGTTTAGAGGGCTTTCAAGTGACGTTACTCTACTTAGCAATAAAGATCTTTCCAGAAATCCAAGCCATTCTTGTTCCCTGAGTTTGCCAACCTCTTTACATTCATCTCCAGATTATTCATGTGTTGTGTATCACATTCACACGGGTAAATTCAATGTCATTGACCAGCAGGAGGCACTATGGGCCTAGTTTCATCCTATTTGGGATTTGTCAGAAGTAGATAGCCAGATGTTATTCTGTTCTGTGCATAGGACTCCTATCAGAAATTGAACTCATTAGGCCTGCAGCAAATTAGTTTACTATAGGTAGGTAGTCCTCAATTTACAACTGATTACTTAGTGACTGTTCAAAGTTATGACAGACCGCCCCTCCAATATGCTCAATTCTAAAGTTTTAATGACTGCCCCGTTGTTACATTACCATATTTCAGGTGCTTGGCAATCAGCTCCATTTGCAGCCTTTTACAGCATCCACAATGATGTGACTGCAATTTACAATGGTTTTTTTTTTGTTTCAGTTTTCAGCAAAAATGCCGAACAACGGGTTGGTTTAACAACCATGGTGTCTGCTTTATGACTTTATAACTGACGGGTTCGCTTAATAATTGTGGCAAAAGAGATTACAAATCTGTTTTATGGATAACCTGCTTTACAATTGTCATGACTTACGACTATAATGGGCAGGCTTCATTATGATCGCAAGTTGAGGACTGCCTATAATTAATTGCACATAGCTTATAGCTTAAAACAGTGAAACTCATATTAAGAGGGTTTATGGGGTTTTAGTGGAAATGGACTCAGAATCTGAATTAATCAAAGATTGTATGATTAAATGGGCACAAAATATTGGTGAACCAATCCCATTGGATACTTGGGAACTTATCTGGGTGAGGAATGTTAAATTTACACAAGCGCAGAACTTAAGAGAGAATTTTTATAAAATGTTTTATAGATGGCACCTTGACCCACAAAAAATGTCTATTATGTACCCTGATCTACAGCCTAAATGTTGGAGATGTGGTTGTTTGGACGCTACTTATTATCATATTTGGTGGTCGTGTAAAAATATAAAAGCTTTTTGGATTAAGATATGGTGGAATATTCAAAGAATCTTTAGAAGGAGGGTAAAATTTACCCCGCAATTATTTTTATTAGGTATTGTTATTGATTGTGATGCTAAGGAAGTTAAATTTGATGTTAGATTTGATTACAGCCTCAAGGCTGTTAGTAGGACAATATTGGAAGAAGGAATCTTTGCCTACTTTACAAGAGTGGTTTTATAAAGTTTCTTACTTGGCGGAAATGGCAAAGATTTCGGCTTTCTTAAAGGAGCAATCTCAAGAGAAATTTTTTGATGTATGGGAAAAATGGATAAATTTTATACAATATAATTTGGATATGGAAAAATATCATTTAGCTTTTTCATAACTTGTATAGATTGTTTTTTTTCTTTTCCCGTCTTTTGCTTTCTCCCTTCTTTTTTTCTTTTATTTTTTTATCTTTCTTTTTCTTTTTCTTTCTCTCTCTCTTTCCTCTCTTTTTTCTTTCTTTTTTAAGTATTTTTCTTTTTAATGCTTATGTCACATATATCTTATTATTAATTATTTTATAAGTTGTAAAAATTTGTTTAGATTTTTTAAAATTTTAAATAAGCCTATATTCAGTTCTGGGAAGTTCGGGGAGGGGGGAGGGAGGGGTGGGTTTGGGAGGGATTGGGTGAGGGTTGATTTGTTTTTGGTTGTTTATTTGTAAAACTTTTAAAAAATTTTCAATAAAAAAAAAGGTTAAAAACAAAACAGTGAAATAATGGAAAGTTCCCAGTTTGCATTTCCTGAGTTCTGATAGATTGTTTTTCAAGATAGATTGGCAGGAAATTCAATATTGAAATAAATATTTAAAAAATGATAAAAAAAAAAAAGAACGAGTACACTAAACCCCACGTGCAGGTTAAAAAAAAAATCCATTTATGGATGTGCAAAGGATTATTTGCATAACTTCACTATAGCGAACCACCCATTTATGCATCCCTGCTGAGTTTCTATGCACAACTTGTGGCCTTGCACTGGAAGTATTTGCAAGGCACAGGTTGTGCATCTAGTGAGTTGGTCTTCAGGGCCTTGCTGAAGAATGTCAAAGTGGAGGCCAGCCTAATCTCTGCAGGGCGGGTATTCCAGAGGGAGGGAGCCCAATGGAGAAGGTCTTTCTTTTGTATCCCACCCAGATGTACCTCCTTAGGAAAGGAGACCCATAATATTCCCTTGCTTCCCTGTTCTGGTGGGTCCGGTAGATGTAACCATGAAGAGACGGTCCTTCAAATAGCCTGGCCGCAGGCCATGGAGAGTTTTAAAAGAGACAACCAGCACTTTGAACTGTACCCAGAAGCAAATATATTACTTGTCTGAGGAATATGGAATCTTTATTAGTCATCTTGTTATCCACTCATAAACGGTAAAAATCTAGTCAGGTTACTACAAAAACCCTAAAGAGCCATTTTATAGCACCAAGGAAAGTTTCAGATTGCATTGGTATCCAAACTGTCCCCTCACATAAGGGTGTCCAGTTTCAGTCTTTTGTACACCATTGTGGTTGATCTTTTATTCTCCCAAGTGGCTTGAATGTATTTTATTTTTTTTAGTGTTGTGACTCGAGAATTACCTGTATGGCTAAAACAGAATTATAATCTCACACGATTCAGATACACATAGGCCTCGACTTACAAGTCCAAATTTCTAAGGAAGTAAGTAAGACAGTTGTTAAGTGAGTTTTGCCCCATTTTACAACCTTTTTTGCCACAGTTGTTAAGCAAATCACTGCAGTTGTTAAGTGAGTCAT